TACATGAGAATGACATGACACTGTCATGAACCTGTCACGTCATAAACGTGTACGACTGCTGTCATTAAGTGTCATTCGGTTATTGTAATCACAAGTTGATTGTTTGGGTTGTCTTTGTCATGACAAGTTGACATTAAATTTGTTTGGAATGTCTTTATTATGACAACTTGACATTAACCAGGATGACATTACCAGAGGATGTCTTTGTCATAACAATTATAATCATTATGTCAACTTGTCATAAACACAAAAAGAAGTGCATTTCTTGTTAATGTCAAGTTGTTATGACAAAGACATCTTCTGGTAATGTCATCCTGGTTAATGTCAACTTGTCATAATAAGGACATCCCAAACAAATTTAATGTCAACTTGTCATGACAAAGACAACTTCTGGTAATGTCACTTTGATTAATGTCAAGTTGTCATCATCAAGACAACCCAAATAATGTCAACTTGTCATTACAAAAACCAAATGACACTTAATGACAGCAGTCATAAATGTTTATTACATGTTCATGACAGGTTCATGACCGTGTCATGTCATAGTTATGACAGTGTCATGTCACTCTTATGTAGATAACTTCAAGTAAAGTGTTACCAAAAAAAGTCCCACCATCTGCTGGTTCAACCAGGTCTAATCCAAGGAAAAAAAAGTTTCTGGTGGACTTTAAACTGTGGACGCTGAGGTGGACCAGATAACACTGAGTGCAGCAGATGCCTCCATTTGTCAGTGAAGTGGTGCCGCAATGCTTACTTTTAGTGTGAGGTAATCATTAGACCGAGGGGTGCTAACAAAACATTAGCAAATCAGTGGTTCGCCATTGTTGTTATTGTGTCTAGCGTACGCTCATTATACAAATAAACTAAATACATAATCATTTCTCAAACACTTGTTTTTTTACACAAATTAACACTAATCGGAGTTTTGAAAAATCTGCACCACAAAAGGTGTTTTGAATAATCTTCGTTTCAGTGACCTAAACCTCTGCTTGTGTGTGGACGAGAGGCCTAAACGTAGAGGAAAATATCAGTTTATAAAAATCTTTATACATGTAGATAGGGCCTGAGATTACATGGAAAGTAGTTAGCAAGTGGATGTTGAGAATAACTCTATTGCACTGTTTACACCTGGAAGAAACAAGCATCTTTTCATATTATGAAATATAATTCCTGGACTTTTATAATGAAAATCTTGGACACACATACTCCATGTTATAAATGTACAGGTGGGAATGCACCTTATGTGTCCTCAATGCGTCTTGAAATCGCTCCGACCACATTTAGAGGTGGTCTAGGCTGCATGGTCACGTTTCGTCAGCAGTGTGTACACTAATATGTTCTGGGCTACATTGAAGGGCCGCCTACTCAGCTGACATCTTTTGCGTAGTGTGTGTGTACGTGTGTCTGTGTTGCTTACCGAGAGAGCTGATCCACACGCCTGAAGAACTTGTAAGATGATGGAATGACTTCCTTTGTGATTGAAGTAAACCTTTGCATTGTTGGACGGGGCAGTCATGGAGATATGAGAACCATATATTGCGCCCCAGCATCGCGGTCACCCCCACCCCTCCTTCAAGCCATCCACAGTCTCTCTCAGTCTGTACCCTCGAGGCAAACTAATAAATTGGCGCTGAAGTGTACGTTTAGCATGATAAATCCCACGCCGCTTAAAAAGAACAACATATTTGGTCTTTGCAAACAGGAATAATGTGTGTTCATTTGCATATAGTGCAAGGAAGTGAGATCAAGTGGTCACTCGAGACACACGTGGGGATGCATTTTAATGCCAGGTGTGAACAGACGGACAGAGCTGTGCACTTGTGATCGGATCACCCAAGACTCGTGGGTAAACAGGCTCATATGAGAGCGGAGAGAGTGAACCATAACAACAAAGTTATGGGCAAAATATAACAAAACAGCTAAAAGATACTATAAAACTCTAAGATGTGAGTAGACATGCAGAATCAGGTGATAATTCCCCTTTCACATTCAAGTAGTCATGTGATTCATTCATCCAAAAAATAAATAAATGTGTACATAGATGATGACGAGCAAACACACTCTAACTTCCACGCTAAAGCTGGGCATCGTAGCATCTCTGTTTTTGTCGCCCACAAACAATAATGCCCCCATAAACACAGGTTTCTTCCATACTGACACATTCCACACAACAAAGGCGCCCACTGCAGCTGCCGCCGGCCGACAAACATTCTTCCACTGGGGTGCCACAGCCACGCTGTGCTGCTGCCGCTAACTGCGGCTACTGCTGCTGCACCACTACTGCTGACCTGACATTTTAGCAGGGGGCCTGGGGATGTGTGTGTCTGTGTCTGTGTGTGTGTGTGTTTGTAAGAGATTGTGTGGGTCTGCCCAGACTGTCCTGAATGGAAGCCATTTTCTGCCCTCTTCAACAGAATCTGAAATGGATGAGACAGAGAGAGAACTAGAAATGTGTGAGCTTGAGGCAGGCAGGGAGTGGATGAGATTGGTGCTGAAGTTGCAGTTTGTTTGCTGGGTGTGCCCGTTGTTGTTTTGGATGTAACGAAGCAAGCGGTGCCCCCCCCAGCACTGACGGATAAATCACCCGTGTTTGGGATAGAGACTGTGGTAGAGAGAGGGTGAGTGAGGGAGAGAAATTATTTAGGGAAGCCCCCTCCCTACTGTATACATGCTCTTTAAATCGACCCAGCAACAGCTGCGCTCGTCTCATTTGACCCGAGGAGACCAACATGCAATACTTCTTCTGCCATTCCAGGTTTCACAGTCTGAGATCAGAATTAGTCAGAGACGGAGAGGAAAACAAAAGGGGAGAGAGCAGAGTAACCCAAAGAGCACACACACGATGATACTTCAAGGTTAAGAGGTCACGGCTCATCGGGCAGGTGCAGCTCTCAACAGCTCATGAATCACCACATGACTGTCCTTGACGGTGGCCTGACATGTTTACCATCAGTCCAACCGCTGCTGAAACAGAAAACGCCCTTCCTCTCTATAGTAATAACAGTAATACCTTTTGTATCAACATAACAATTCATGTTGTTTTCAGTAGTACAGCCTGTTATAGTTAAAGTTATATAATGTGTCAGTTTCAGGTAATTGTACTGAGTTCTGTCACAAGTTACACTCTGCATTTTTAATACCGTCATTTATTATAAAGAGCCTCCACACCATTATAAGTGGCACGTTATTAAAGGTATGACTCATAGTATCTAAAACAGAGACATTTATTTTTAGATGGTAAAAAAAAAAGTACGTAAGAGCTGCATTGGTGCAGATTGTTGACGCTACAGATGGTGTCGATTCACCTCAAAGGGTTTTCAAAACCACACTTAAAAAACCACAGTTACAGTCATTAGCGTGTAAATAAAGCAAAACAACTTTCACTGCCATCGTTTACAATCTGCCTGCGGCTCTTGTTGTGGTATAAATGGCCAAATATAGCAGTCTATTCATCATAGCTTCACTTCCATAATGTCAAAGCCATTGCCTTTTACTGGCAGATAACAAAAGGCCACCACAATAGCCTTGCAGCTGTCACAGTGCGAAAGTGTCAGTAACTGGCTGAGTCATTGTTTGTTAAGCAGGTTTCTACCCAGGCCTTATTAATCTCTTTTTTGCCTTTTCATTTTCTATCACTCTAATGCTCTCCACATACACTCCCTTATGTTAGATTTTTTTTTTTACATCTTGTTGAATGTTGAATGCCACTGCAGTTGTTATTGGGAACAGTAGACCTTTTATTTTCAGAAACTGTCAGTTATGCCTTTAAACACCAGCATAATGTACTTACCAAGAACAGCAGGCTAACAGTATATTAAAGTTTAAGTGAGTAGGATTTAGGGGGAATTAGTGGGGTCTAGTTCCGAGGATTGCAGATTGCAAGCAGCTGAAACTTCTCCTGGTTAGAATTCCTTCAGTGTTCTTTGTTTAGGAGGTTCTTAACGGGAGCTGAATGATCTGCAGAGGTCTCTTCCTCTCCAAAACAAATGGACCAGTTGCTTAAAACTAGTCAAAACCCTTGATGAAGTAGTTTCATGTTACAAATCAGTGTTTCTCCCACCCTGTTCGAATAGTCGCAGATGGACCGCTAGCCCAGCACCTGCTAATGTGTGCACACCTTATTTCTGATCGAAACATTCATGAGGTTTTTACCATGAGCTGAATTACCCGCAGAGGTCTCCTCCCCTCCAAAACAAATGTACCCGGTGTTTTCAACTGGTATAAACACTGACCAAAGTAGTGTCACTTTAAAAAAATCCAACACCACTCGTCATGGAGGGGCTGCTAGCTACCCTGGCCAGTGTGAAAATGCCAAGGACCTTGGATTGCAATACAACATGGCAAACTCAGTGCTCAGTCAGAAAGCATACTTATTATATTACACTCCATTTCTGCCAATATATCCCCCTAAATCCTACACACTGTTCCTTCAATAGGACGATATGCTTTAAAGATAAAAATGGGGGCTACAAATGATTCTTTTCCAAGGTTGCAGCATTTGTGCTAGAAACAGAAAGTTGTTCAAAAATAAAGTCGATAGAACCTGACAGGGGAAAAAAAGCCTTGTGGGCATATTTTGGTAAAACATTTATGTGTGACAATTCTGTGAGTCTTTGATTTTTATTTCTTGATTTTGATGGCACTTTTTACGGTAGCTGTTGCCTCAGTGGGTTGCGGTAACAAACATTAATCATGGTCTAAACTCATTCATACTAAAGACACAATTCCTGTTTGTCTCCAGTGGGCTCTGCCATGACAGATCTTCCAGGAAGCCCGCAGCCTGGCGACTCAGATGTGTCCATCCAGGTGGTTTCCCCCACCCCCCAGAGCACTGTGGTCCACACCCCCACACCCCAGATGACCCCTGAGGGCATTGAGTTGCTGACCCCCAGCCTGTGCAGCATGGAGAAAATGGCCTCCACACCATCAGCAACTGATGTACTTGCTGTATCTGTACATGGTCACAAATCCCTGACTGCAGCGTCTCCTTCTTTACTCTGACCTGAAAACCTGAGCTAGACTGGTGGTGCTGTTCACAGAAATCATTAGATGTGTGAACAAGGTTTTTCTGGTGTTTAAAGGCTATTAGACGCTGTTAGGTTGATGTCAAACTGACCAAAGCGATCAGTCAAACACGCCGTTAAAGCCCCTGTAACCAACTGGATATGGCCAGGCAGGGATTTATGGTTCGAGATTTGCGTCTAATTAGTTGATTGCTTTCATTGCCTTTTTGATGGATCACCTCCCTTCACGAGTCTCACCCAACAAATGAACACCATATAGTACGGTTCACTTGTTATTACTGTCGGGAGTGAAGCCTCCCATAACAGACTTCATATTTCCTCGCAGCACCTCTCGCTGATAGCTCACTGGAAGATAACCAAATCGTATTTCCCTGCCTTGTCATTTCCTCTTTCCTTAGCAATACATATCACTCCACAAAAGATGTTATAGCGTTTCCATTCAAGCCAGGATTTGAGGCCAGAGTGAAAGGTGAGTCAGCATGCAGAGCAGCACTTTCTATCCTGTTTATCAGGAAAGAAAATGACCCTGTCAGGGAAACAGAGACTAAAATGTGCAAAAACATCACTGACATCACCGGTGAGTGATTGACAGCTATTTGACAGAGCAGCAGCTAGGAATATCCTGTATTCTCTTTACGTCTGACTAATTTACAAACAATAAAAATCCCTGTTACATGTTCCCAGACACAATGTGGATTCAATGTTAGCTTCAGGAAGTATACCCTATTTAACAGTAAATATTTTTAACATTATTTCATGTGTATATCATGGAAAAGCAGCTTTAAATCATAGAGGGTAAAAATAATTTATTTAGTTTTTACCAATAAACATTTACACCATATGGACTTTTGGTAACCAAAGTAACCTGCTGTGTCTCAAATCGGATACCTGTGTACTTATACTTGCTATTATAAGTGCATGATTGCGTTCATAATGAGAAGTATAGCAAAATGCAATGCACTACTGATGCACCCGTACCAGTCAAACAGTTGAGTGTGGAACGTTGGATACTTCTCAACCTCATGGTCGCCATGTTGCCGACGTAGTCGAAGGGGCGGGACCACAACACATTTCAAATTTGTGAAATGTCAGCTGACTACCACAGTAAAGTACAAATATACATGTGTATTTTAAACTACCATTAGACTGTTGTCGGATAAAAGCCATCAGTTTGTTTATTGCGTTTCTTTCTGTAGTAATTTGGCACCACAAACAACAATGTGAATGTTAGCTTGCTAGCTAGCTAGCTAACAGCAGCACGTTTTTATCATCAGGCATTGACGTCACAGGTGTTGTTGCGTAAGCTATACGATCTATGAGGGTAGTTAAGTTTGGTGTTTATGCATGTTAAATTTTCTTCATTGTAGAAGATTATAGTGTTAGATTTGTGTCCAGAAGCTTGACAAGCTGTAAATGTTCGCGAAAAGCAGCAGCCATAATTAACTTGGTGGATCAGCTGGTGATAGAGTCAACCTGTGTCGGCTGCGGAAACTCATAGATTCATTTTTAATTCAATAACATCATAAATACAGAAGAAATTAAGTGATGATGTAGCAAGCATGTAGTCTGACGAGTGACAATTGTAAATTGTTGATTTGAGGTAATGCTACCCTGTCAAAATTTGCACACTATGCAAGTAAGTACATTGTGTACCCATCGTCTGTGAATTTGTATGTTTTGTTCATGCTGTATTTTATTTCTGCATATTCTCACACTACAGCAGTTGGAGTATTTTTACTTCCCATATGTGGTTTTGGTCTTTTGCTAGACGTAGCTAAAGGTTAGACATTTTGTGTTCTGCCACTGATGACTCCATTACTTTCAGCTGTCTGTTTATTTATTTTTTTGTTCATGCCAGCATTCATTTTAAATGTCACGTATCAGCTATGGAAAGTTCATGAAATTCGATAAGCAAAAATATTCAGGATGAAAAGACTGCACGCTGCTCAACTGCAGTTCTTTACTCTCCTTCATGCCAACTTAAAAGACTGTGCAGGTTATAAGCGTCTTCTCCTGACTGTGTGTCGGTTAAACTGAGCAAATAAAGTGCACTCCTGGCATATCTCCATCACTTACCTGAGAGGATACTTCTGGTTTCCCCTTCAGTGTCTCTGCAGAGCGGCGAGGCAGCGGTCTTGTGATGGATGGCTTTCCTGACCATCCCAGTCACTGATGCATACCGCTTCACAGCGAGGCATGAGGAGGGTCATGTATCTCCCTTTGCAGGTATGTGGATGCCTGGGAGACAGCTGCCACTGGGTGAGGTGATAAAGCAGCCCATTTCGTTCTGGGGACATCTGATCAGTCTGGCAGCACTGGGCCCGACTGAAACTGGATCACACAGGAGCAGGAGGGAGTGGGCACCAGGCTGTCAGAGCAAAGCCAGAAAACAACTGGGTCTGGGCTGCGATTCCAGGCCGAAGGTGGAAGTGTAAAATACAACTGTGTTTACATTCAGAGAGCTTGATTTTAGGGAGTGTATCCCTATGTGGGCTTCAAATACACTGATGTATGAGTGACACTAATACCATGTTCTTAGATGTAAACATTAAGCTAAACATTGTTCAAACCTCTAGAACATGTGGGATGTTATGTGCCTAAATTAAAGGCAGTTGATTATATTATTAAGGTGAGAAAATGTATATGAGCTACTGACTTCGGTCTGAAAATAAAACCCAGCAGAAGTGCAACATGACCTCCAGGATTAAAAAGACAACATACAGTTGATTCCTACCTAAATCCTGCATTTTCTATTGGAAAAAAACACTCAGACCTGTCAGGACGATATGACAAAATTGTTTTCACACACGTCCAGTACTTATGAGTCTTGTTTGTGTCCACCTGGCAAGTGTAAGTTCAAATTTCACCCTCTTTTATCTCCATTTTTGGTCTCTACCAACTGCTGAGGGAAATCTCTGTCCCTCTAGCTGTTAAATGCTCCACTATGTTTGCCAGCTAGTTGCTACTGTGTCTGCTAAGCATGCCTTTCATTCCTATAAAAGTTGCTCATTGGTGCATGAAGCCAAAAAAGGTTCAACTGCCACTTAGAAAAATACCCGTACCGCTTTCGTGTGTGGTCCATAGAGCAGGCACACTAGAGACTTTCTCCAGCTGAGCCAGGTACTTCTTGTTTAGTGCTCTGCTAACTTGAATGGTAATACAATAATTCAATCGCAAAGCTCTTCTAGATTTTCTAAATGTTATCAGACTGAATGGATCAAACTCTTATCTTTTCACAGAGGTTGTGACACTGTACCCACCGAATTACAGATTCTCTGTTTTGTTAAGTCTCTGGGAACAAGTATTTTTGGGCCACATGGCATCATGTGACGGACGTAATTCCACTGTTTGTCTACTATAATAATTGGCTTCAAAGCCTGGTACACATCCTGGGGCTGGTTTTTAGAGTGTATTCATTGAAAACAGCTGCCTCTTGTGGCAGAAAACGAGGCTATGAGAGCGATGACAGTGAACCAGAACACTGAAGTTGTGGCGGGACAGCTAAACAATAAGCTAAAACTTGCTCTAAAATTATGTAAAGCCGCGGAGCTGCAGATTCAGGCGATGATTCTCTGCAGGTCATTCACCACAAGAGAACCCCTTTCACAGTATCACATTGTTTTCACATTGTAATTTGTTTATATTGTTGTTATAACAATATTAATTATAGTTAAAGAAAAGGTTTGACATTATAAGACATTTGCTTATTAGCTTTCTTACTGAGAGTCAGACGAGAAGATTGACACCACTCTTATTTCTGTATGCTAAATATAAAGCTACCGCAAGCAGCTGGTTAGCTTGAGCCCTGTTTCCACCAAACACTTTCGGGATGGTACCATTGGAACTAAAAGTAACCCTTCAGACATGGTACCTAGACCCTGGTGTTTCCACCGCAAACAGTACTCTTAAATGTGGGCGGGGTTGTTGTCACTCACTGCTCCGTTCAGCCCTCACTGTACTTCCACCTTTCTCTGTCTGCACCTCGTTTATCTTCCACAGAACGAGGCTGCACGCCGACATTTTCAGAACAAAATAAAACAGGCTGCAGTGAGAGTCTCTCTCCATGGGATATTTAAAAATAGCGGGTTTGTGTAGTCAGTCCTTCTCAGGCAAGCTCAGGGGTTTAGTGTTGCCGGAGTCCACAGGAATGACACTCCACAACGCTTTTTTTTTCTCCAATCGAGGATTAGAGTATATGCAGCTCACATAACCTGGTCAAAATTAATATATATGAACACTTGAAGATCCACTCATTAAGGTGTATGTTATATAAAAACTAAAGTAATGGGCAAAGTTGTCACAATGAAATTTAAATCTAAAGAGGATTTTGTTCAGATTTCTTGATATTCATGGAGATTTTGACTGAAACAAAACAGATAAATTGACACAGTGTTTCCATGACATAGTTAAGCCAACATAGAGCACTGACAATTTTATTGTTCAAATGCATCAGGTCCCACTCAGCACAGTTCTTGGTCCTAAATAACCTAATTACCGGGATGCTAAATTTACATTGGTGTTTCTGTTGAAAGCCATCAGACGATATATCGTTATCAGAATTTTAAACTGTGAAATATCTTTTAATCTGGGCTCTAATTTTGACACTCTTTAGAATAATCCTGTCTGTCACTGCATCACTATCTGGAAAAAAATACCACATCCAGTTTAAAGTTAACTACAAACATGACACTTTTATTGAACTTATTTTTTTCCTGATTCAGTTACAGAAACAAGAGAGTTAACTGTTGTTGTTTTTTTTTAATTGTTATTTTTCTAATCAGGGGAATCAAGTTCTATACATAGGCATGCTGCGTCACTGCACAGTCACAGCTGTGAAAACCAATATCACCCCTGTCAGCTGCCCCGCTGGAACAGTCTGAAGGCAAGACAAATCAGGAGAGGACAGGCAAGGACATGTCAATCCCAGGGAGGATAGGTGTTCAGAGGGCTGCCCAGGGATGACAAACTTAACATATAGAAGTTTTGTGCAAATTTCACCACAGTCTATTTGATTTTAAACACAGAGACGATACCAGTCAGAAGATTCTCTTTTTTTTCCCCCCTCGAGTCTTCAAACTAACACAGATAGTTCTCATTAGGTCCAGTGATGATGGCAATTTGTTCCTTTTTGGGGAATCATACGTGTTTTGGACCATTTCCCCCTGACTTTAATCTCTTTGCTTCTCAAGAGCCAGCTCTCTTTTTGTGTTTAAGAAAGCACAGACATTAAGTGTGTCATCTGATATACACTGAAATTATGATTGCTGTCACATGACCTTTACATAAATAGAGTTAGTATTCAAAAGTACGTCTGAGAAAGGTCTTACATGTAGAAATGGTGATAAGCATGCACAGATAGGTAGTCGACAAGTGCAAAATCTACAAAGTCACATGTTATTATTGTTTTTTTGTTTTGTTTTGTTGTTTTTTTTTGTACTCCACACTGAGTGAAAACATAGCAAGAACTGAAACCTCCCCCCTCCGCTCTGAGTGTTGAGAGTTTTGTCTGGTTACTGCTGACCATCCAAAACCCTGAGGACAGTTCTTCTTCATGGGGCTACGACAAACGCTTCTGTGGCGCGTAGCCTGTTTCTGACCACGGTTGGCCCAAACAGAGCCTGACGTGGCGGGACATGCTCTCTTTGGGCATGGAGCTGGCCTGCTGGTACCAGTCCTATTTTAGAATAACCAGTGGTTAAGACATAAACATACAGCAGCAGTCAAGGGCTGACCCTTAGTCTTTTCTTAGTTAGAGGTTGCTGTAAAACCAGGGGTCACCAGTATGACTGTTGGGGGACTTGAAGTTAGTTGTACAGCCTCCCTGCTTCATGTTTTATAATTATCCCTAAAGTATATGAGAGCAAGTCATTGTTTACTGCATGAAGTGCCAAAAAATATTCACAGGCATTGTCATTTTTTTCTGAAAATAATAAAAATAAGTATGTTTTTATCCCCGTAACTATTACAGCAAAGAGTGGACCTCGGTCTTGACTGAGAAAACTGCGCGGAGGTACGACTGACCTATAAATGACAACTCATATCATTTCCTTGAACATTAATCAAACAGAAAAAAGCATATCTAGTGTTGGCAAAACATTTCCAAAATGCTAATTTAAAAAAAATAAAAGACACCAGCAATAGAGAAATAAAAGCTTAATGTAACAACAAGCGAATGTATGAACAACAAAGCAAACCAGTTGAAAAAAAATCCCCAGATAAAAACAGTTTGCAGTAGTCAGTCCTCCAGTGGGTCATGTGACACTGGTGTCTAAACTCAGGCTACAGTTAAAAAAGAAACACAGAAAAAAGTAAAAGAAGCAAGCAAAGCTTTACAGCACTACTATGTACACAGCTTCTCGGGCGAAGGGAGAGAGAGAGAGAGAGCTGGTGTCGTGATGAAGGGAGAGGGCGTGAAACGGAGACTCCAGTGAAACAGGAGTCCTTCTTGGCACGGGGCTACACTTGAGCTATAGCCGACCACAGGGAGACAGGAGGGGAGGAGGAGGAGGAGGAGGAGGGAGAGACACTTCACCAGATAAAGAAGACAACCACATAGAGCAGAGCAGCGCGGCCGCCCGCACACATCACGCACAAACACACACACACACACACAGACCAGGGAGCCATTTTCTCACACAGATCTCGCACTGTCGCATGGACTCCCCTCGGACTGCCGCTCGCTATCTCCTGGCTCCCATCCCCCTTCTTCCTTATATCTGATCTCCCTCTTTCCACATCGCACTGTAAATCTGATCTTTCTAAGGCTCTAGGATATCTCCGCACACCAGCCACAGCTCTATCTATAGCCTGTCACTCACAGATTTGACTGCTGTATCTGCATCAGTTGTTCCTGTAGTTCTGTGCCGCACTAGGAAGTTGTGTCAGAGGGATATTTAGCACCAGAAAGCAACCTTGACTTTTGAAATGTCCCCCCCCCCCACCCCTCCACGTCAACTCCCGACACTCATAAAATCACACGTACGCACACGTAAACACAGAAAGAGTTCAGAGCTAAGAACAGTTTCAGTTTTCTCGCTTCGTTTCCTGCTGATATAAAGTGACAGTTTCTCCTGGCTGGTTCAAAACGCCAGTGGCCACCGGAGATGTGGGAGAGCAGCACACAGCAGTCTGACCTAGATTCATGGAAGCGGTGCCTCCCCGCAGACGACTGACACCCTCCTCGTCCAATCAGAATCCACTCTAATGCGCCGTATATACAGTATATATATAACAGCAGTTCATTAGCAGCTTGCGATCCCTCTGTTCAGGTGCTCCGGGCTGCTTTTGCTTCGTGTGCGGTCACTGGGAGCTTCTTTTCCGACCGCAGATTCACAGTTTGTTTCACATTTTGCAAAGTGTCCATGCAGGTGGGAGGATGAGGCAAGGTGAGAAGAGTTATGTGTAATATTCACAGACGGTGCAGTGAAACCAGAAATAGAGAGGGAGGAGGAAGAAGAAGCGTTCACAGAGGGGTAACAGTCTGGAGGGGGAAGGTGTATTAGAGTGGCAGAGTTGAGATGTAGGGAATACACACACTCTTTTTTTTTTTTTTTCCCTCTCACACACTCTACATACACACCCACAGAGGCTGGATTATTTTAAAGCGGGCGGTGCTCGAGCTGTACAGTTTGCCCGTGTGCTGTCTTCACCTACACTGGATGGATGGAGGACAGAGCCAAATGTTTCCACGTGAGCGCCAGCAGCATGAAAAGACAGCCTGACTAACAGGGGGAGAGACAGAGCAAGAAAAAGCGATAGATTTCACAGTTTTCCAAGGATGCTTACAGTGCTGTATAGTCTCAGGGGAGCAAATCAAACAAAAGAAGAACAATACTGCATGTTGATATTTTCAGATCTGAGTCAGCGCGTGTCTTGTTTTGCTACTTGCTGGTCACACTTTGAGTTTTCGAACCCTTCTATGGAGATTTGTGTGCTAGAAGAGCTTTAGCTCTGTCCTCCATACCTTGCTGCCTCTCAGTCTCACACACACTCATACGATAGTTGATTGGCACACAGTCAGTGTTTAAGTCTGTACACAGAGTGAAAGGGCCCTGTTGGCATCCATGTTTTAAGTCCAACCAGGCGGGCCCCTCGTCCCAGACCCCTCCCTCCTCACCCTCTCCATCCTCTTCTTCATTTTCTACCACACATCATCTTTCCAATCCTCTCGCTCACCACAGCTGCCTCCCAGTGTAGGTTGGAGGGGCGGAGGGCACCTGTAGAAGGAAAAATTAAATTTGTAAATGACCGTCACAGATACCGTCATATAGTCACACATGCATACAATAACTGCACAGGCCACATATACACTTTTTATTCAAGCTTGTCTACAAACTGTCTTCATGGTTTAGGACAAAATACATCTCTGCCTGTCTTCTACTTCAACACAGACCCTCTCATGTCATGTGGTAGCTGTCTCATGCTGCGTTCATGTGGAGTCAGGCAGATGGTAGACAGCAGACAGACACTTTGGCAGTATGAAACATGCATGGCGATATGTTGCGATGGTGATGTTATGTCAAATAAATTATTTTGTGTCTATTATTTTATGTAAGTACTCAAATAATGTCCAGTAATGGTTCAGATCTCGTGTTTTTACCCCGTCTACATCGCTACGTCAACACTGATAGTAAATTCCGTCATGGAGGATGGCAAAAAGTTAAAATGTTCTAACTTTAAACGGCATCTACCATTTTCCAGTATTCTCTGCCAGTATCACTTAATTATGTCATCCAGCTCTTGTCCACTAAAGTGATATCCTGCATGCTGTCTATCATCTGTCAGTTTCCACGTGAATGCAGCATAACTGTCCCAGAGTTTAAAGCAAACCACAGAAACGCAGCATTTACTTGTTACGCTCCGCAAAGCTGAAATAAACCTCCAATAGGTGTAAGACCTGACTCAACTCTGACTATCTTTAAACCCAAACCCTTTATGCTCTCCATAACTTAAAGTAATTGTTTCATATTTTGGGAACTAAGCTTCTCAGTTAGCCTAGATGAGAAGATCTCACGTCTTTATGCTGTATATGAGCAGCTGGTTAGCTTAGCTTAGCACTAAGAGTGGAAACAAGGGGAAACAGCTAGCCTGGCTCTGTCAAACCAGCACCTCTAAAGCTCACTGACTTTAAACCTCGTTTGTTTAATCCACACAATAACTGAAGTGCAAAACTGTGTGCAGTAGGTGTTTATTGTTACCTTTGTAGCTGTTAGCCCTTATGTCCAGTCTGTATACTAAGCTAAGCTAACTGCTGCTTAATATTTACTGTAAAGGCAAGCGAGTGTTATCAATCTTCTGCTTAATTCCTTTCATCTTTTAAATGTCTTTTATCCTTTCAAATTGCCCTGTTAAAAGTTGAATTTTGAGTATAAAGCATGCTATATAAATAAGCTGTCTTTACAATGAATGCACAGAAACACTAATGATACTTTATGCAGCGCAGATTAAAGTGACAGTTCAGCCCTAAATCAAAAATGCATATTTTTCACTCTTACCTGTAGTGCTGTTTATCAGTCTAGATTGTTTTGGTGTGAGTTGCAGAGTGTTGGAGATATCGGCTGTAGAGGTGTCTGCTTTCTCTCTAATATAATGGAACTAGATGGCACTCGGCTTGTGGCATACGAAGCGGCAAAAAATTCATTTGAAAAACTCAATAGCAATGTCTCTTTCCATAAAACGTGACCTGGTTCCTCATGATAACCCACAGACCTTGTTGTGAGCAGTTTCATGTAGAAACTATTTACTTTCTACCAAAGTACACCCGCCAACTGTATCAACGTGCTGGTCTGCCACATCCATCCACTGAAGGAAAGAGGATTATAAGAGTTTCACGGAGCTTGCTAATGTTACAGCTCAGCCGAGGAGGCCGCCATAAATGTTTACATCTCGCACTGTCTCAAGCTTGAGCTCCTGGGTGTATAAAGAGACCTAGGTATAGCATTGGAGACAGGACCATGTTCATTCCTATGAAAGCTGCTCAGAATTGTTTAACTGCCATGTATAAAATTACCTGGATGATCGGCACTGCTTACGCATTCTTGGGCCCGTAGAGCAAGCGCACGATAGACTTCTGACCGGCTTCTTCCGGTTTAGTGTTCCGCTAACTTTAATGAGGATTAAATTATTCAGATTTGTGGCTTTTCTAGGCTTTTCAAATGTTTTCAGATCAACTGGATCAAATTCCGATGGGTTGTAACACTAAAAAAAATATATCCACTGATTTACAGATGTTTCTTTCCCAGTGTAAATCTATGGAAAAAAGGTCTTTTTGGGCCCCATGGCATCATGTGACAGACTCAGAAGTCGTAATACCACCCTTTAGTCACTACAGAAATTGACGTCAAAGCTCAGCACACTTCCTGGGGGCGTGCACGAGCCCCTCATCCATGCGTAGATGCACACTTTATTCTGCGCAGTGCTACGGTTGTTGGGTGTTGCTCAGAAGAAAGGAAACCACTCACAGCAAGGTCTGTGGATTATCTTAAGTAACTGAGCCATGAATGTATTCTTTTGGTGCTTCGTACACCACAAGCCGAGTGCCATCTAGTTCCATTATGTTAGAGAAGGCAGACATCTCCACGGCCGATATCTCCAATACTCAGTAACTCACACCTAAACAATCTAGACTGATAAACAGCACTACAGGTGAGAGGACAGTATGTATTTTTGATTTTGGGCTGATCTGTCCCTTTAAAGAGATGTCTCTACGTTCCCTTGTTGAATCAGCACGGCTGCAATCTCTAGGAATCGTGACTACAAACAACCTTTTAGTCAGTAGAGAGTGTTCAGCGTTTTAGCCTCCAGCAGTGTGCAAAGTGGTGCGTTGTGCTCTTGTGCTAAATTCATAACACAGTGGCTGGAAATAAGTTCACCTGTGCCAGCAAGAGTGCCCATTCATCCTGCATAACGAAGTGCGTGACAGTCCAGCAGACAGTAGCATCACTCAGTGGAGAGATAGCATCGTGGCTTATTTATACGCACAGGAGCACATGGAAGCTCTCTCACACTCACCCATACACAAACTCAGTGTAAGACAGGTGACCATTTGTGACAAAACCATCCATGCACAAATACAACACACACAGGCCACGTGACCATGCATCCAACAAACTGATAATGCACACACACACATACTCACACCTCTCCCTCATTGTTGTGCAATGACGTACGGTCTGGAACGCACAAATGTGCATGCAGTCTTGTCGGCGTGGTCGAATGAGAGAGCGGCGTGTAAGCGGCGTGTACCTGTGACTGGGAGGATGTACTCACCGCTCCCCCGTTCAGGATCATGGTCATCTCGGTGGGTTGGTAGACGTTGCTGCGGAAAGGAGCGCTGGGTCTGGCGCCTGTGTTGCTGTTATGTTGCCCGGCACCACCACCGCTCCTCAGGCCTGGCGTGGAATAGACAGAGGCGAATGGAGATTACTAATGGTGACTCACCACATCAGTGTCCGTCTTGATGAAACATTTGCTATGTAACCCTGCACCACAGAAATTTCCTCGTGTTCTTATTTCTAGCCATGCATGCAAATATTTCCTGGTGTCCTATTACTCACTTTGGCCTACATTCCACCTACAGCCTGTCCACACATATTACGCCTGTCTGCTCTAAAATATTGGATTGTACTGTACCTGCAGTGTTCTCATCGCTGTATCCGTAGCCCTGGTTCTCCACAAACTGCCTGTGAGAGAGGGGGATGTCTTCGTCAAAGCTGGTCTCCCTCATCCGTGTCGAGTTCTGGGAGGTGTCAAAGTAATCTGGGGCAGTGGGCTGTGGAGGGGGTCTCAGGCAGATGTGGGATTCAGGAATGGCATGGAAGATCAGCAGCAGCCAGCCCTGAGCTACTAAAGCAATGGCCAATGCTGGGTCATCCCAGTCCGGGGCCCTCCCCAGCCAGGCGTTGCCATACAGATAGAAGCCCACCCAGGCCACCCAAAGCAGCAGCGACAGCAGGCAGGTCACCAGCAGCCAGATGGCATTGCAGCGCCACTGACGTGTCTTCCCACACAGAGCCAGGGAGGCGGCAGTCAGCGCGGCTAGTAGGAGGGCTAGCACGTAGCTACAGGCTAGGGAGAAGTCCAGTGGCAGGTACTGACAGGCAGCTCGTCCCTCCCTCAGCACGGTCAGAAGTAGCCACTCAGCGGCGATGATGCCCTGCACGGCACTCAAACCCAGCGCAAGGCCTGTTAGGGCGCAGCCACCAGGGCTCCGGCGCTCACGGCCAATCCTGCGCAGGCGAACACCCTGCACCAGCAAGCAGGAGAAACAGACGGCAAACAGGAGACCCCACAGGGCCCTGCGGAGCAAACATAAAGACTCGTCCTGTTCAATCAGGTAAGCAAAGCTCAGGCCGAACAAGCCGAGGATGCCGAGGAGCAGAAGGAGGATGGGTCCCACGCCGCTGCGCTTCTCAGCCTCACTGATGTGGTGTAAGCGGCACAGCAGGACTAGGGCTAGCAGGATGGCAGTCAGCACCCCGCCGGCGGCCACTGACTCGACAGCCACACCCCATATGGAGTCCAGGTCACAGAGGAGGGTGTAGGGACGGACAAGGCCCCAGCCGCAGCCTCTTGGGAGAGCCTCAGAGTCCTCAGAGTCTTGACCGGTGGCACGATGAGCAACAGTCAGCAGCAGCAGGAGGAGGACCGGGAGGAACGCCATCTCTGAGAGATCAACAGACCAGAAGACAGAGAGTGACGAAGGAGCAAAGAAGGAGAATGGAGAAAGTCAAAGGAATGGAGAGAGAGAACGAGAAAGAAAGTGAGTCATTCTGGTCATAAATGCAACAGAGTCGAGCAGTCAGTCATTCCCACAGTAATCATCCGCCTGTGAGTGACAATGCAGACAATCAGCCACTGCTGTGTTTTAGAGAGGAAACAAAGGACAGCAGTTCATGCAGGGTGAATGACTGAACCCTTTCCAAACACACAAAAGCACACACACACACACACACACACACACACACACCCACACCCTGTTTCACCAATAGTAGCCTATAGCCCTGCCCTCTTTCAAAGCTCTGGTGTGTAGGGACATACTGGCAGGAATCGAATATAATATGGTAAGTATGTTTAGTGTATAATCACCTTGTTTATTACTTTAGAATGAGCTGTTTATACCTACTTAGGGAGCGTGTCCTCGTCTATAGAGTCTGCCATGTCTCTACAGTAGCCCAGAACGGACAAACCAAACACTGGCTCTCAATAGGGCTATTTATGTTTTCACGTTTCTGCATTGGGCAGCACAGTTAGAAGTCCCTCCATAACAACAAGCATGCAACATGAAACTGCTGCTCAGTGTTTTTACTGGTTTAAATCACTAAATCTGTTTGTTTCAGAAAGTTAGAGACCTTTGAGGGTAATACACCTCCTGGTAAAGAGCCCCTAAACATCTGGATCTTAAGTTAGCTCACATTAGCAGGTGCTGGGCTAACACCTGTCTGACATGCCAAACAGCATCAGAGAAACAGTGACTTGTTTCAGCTGGTGGCAATCTGCAATCCCCACCACTAGATGCCATGACATTTCTTTAAATCTTACACACTGCTCCTTTAAAGTCTTTCAGGTTTCATTTAGTGGCAAAAAAACAGCATACACATGGCAGGAAAATACCTACAAACCCAGATAAGCTGCCTTAAGTGCATTCACAAAAAACTGAGGTCAGAGTCGGAGCTCCTAAAGTGCTTCTGAGGAGAGTTTCAGGTTTATGATTTGTCCAGTCTTGTCCAATGAACCGGCTGCCAGGGCACTGACAGGAAAGCTGCAGCATCATGCATATTTTTATGGAAGAAAAAAAAAAAACGAGATATAGAGCAGGGAAGTAGTGCATACAAGCAGTTCTACTCACTATCAGGCATCTAAGGGCATCTGGCAAGGCGTGAGACAATGCATAATACACAGCACACAAATGCACAGCGCCTCGAGCACAAGTACAAACACTTGAGTACTTTCGTGTCCCGGTGAAGAAAAAACAAAAAACACAGTAGCAGTCGGTGAGCAAAATCAATGCTGTCTCAGTCTACTTATTCCTTTATTCATCATAACTGTCAGACAGCCGCACACACACACACACACAAATACACGTTCTTTCATTCCATTGAGGTCTTTGCTGGGATGATCAGTGCTGTCGCTTCACCTGACAAGCTGTGTGTTTTTTGAGAGGTTGATCTGTATTTAAAGCCACCACGAAGCCGCACACACACACACACACACACACACACACACACACACGTACACACACGACACATCATTCTGCCAGAATACTGTCAACTGTCTCTCCACTACATTGCTAAGCTTTCAGAAATTCTTTCCAAGCTGGCTCATACATTAGTGTGTCAAACAATCTGCTCTTACAAAGAACACACACACACTTTTCTCGCCGCTCCATGCTTGAAGCTACACTTTGGATTGTTTATTTCAGCTGTAGTTTTGACATAAAATATCTCCCGGGGTTCACAAATAGACTGTACCACAATATTTACATACCACATAAAGGACCCTGGATATCCCCAGCTTCATATTCTCTCTCCATGCCAGTAAGTTGGGGAGAGTTACAGTTACATGGCCGAGCTGTCAGGGGAGAGTGGTAGATTTAAATACACACCAGCCAGGGCTACAGGTCACACACAGTCCTTCCAGCATGGAGCTTATTAAATGGGGCAGACAGCGAGAAAGAGACAGACCCCTCGATACTAGGAAACAGGGACAGAAGTGTGAGGAAGTCTGGCGCATCTGCTGCAAATGTACTCAGACTAGACCTGCTTTTAATAGTGTGATTTGTCACTTTAATGCATCTGATGTTAGTGCATTTACTCAGGAACTGCACAAATCTTGTGCTGGACTTGCGTTTTTTCATTTCATGCTACGCTATAATTCTACTCAACTACGTGTAGGAGGGAAATATTGTACACCGTAACGATTATTTGACAGCAATAGTTACTTTACAAATTAAGAAGACAAACTAACATATTGTAAGAACATATAAAATACATCCACTGGCCACTTTATTAGGTACACCTGTTCAACTGCTTCAATACACAAATAGTTAATCAGCCAATCACATGGCAGCAACTCAATGCATTAAAACATGCAGACATGGTCAAGACAACCTGCTCAAGTTCAAACTGAGCATCAGAATGTGGAAGAAAGGTGATTTAAGTGACTTTGAGCGTGTTGGTGCCAGGTGGGCTGGTCTGAGTTTTGCTGATCTACTGGGATTTTCACGCACAGCCATCTCTAGGATTTACAGAGGATGGTCCGAAACAGAGAAAATATCCAGTGAGTGGCAGTTCTCTGGGGGAAAATGCCTTGTTGATGTGGAGAATGGCCAGACTGGTTCAAGATGATAGAAAGACAACAGTAACTCAAATAACCACTGGTTACAACCAAGGTCTGCAGAAGACCATCTCTGAACCAACAACACGTCCAACCTTGAAGCAGATGGGCTACAGCAGCAGAAGACCACACCAGGTGCCACTCCTGTCAGCTAACAACAGGAAACTGAGGCTACAATTCACACAGGCTCACCAAAACTGGACAATAGAAGATTGGAAAAACGTTGCCTGGTCTGATGAGTCTGGATTTCTGCTGCTGCATTCAGATGGTAGGGTCAGAATTTGGTGTAAACAACATGAAAGCATGGATCCATGCTGCCTTGTATCAACGGTTCAGGCTGCTGGTGGTGGTGTAATGGTGTGGGGGATATTTTCTTGGCACACTTTGGGCCTCTTAGTACCAACTGTGCATGGTTTAAACACCACAGCCTACCTGAGTATTGTTGCTGACCGTGTCCATCCGTTTATGACCACAGTGTACCCATCTTCTTATGGCTACTTCCAGCAGGATAACTCACCATGTCACAAAGCTCAAATCATCTCAACATGACAATGAGTCCACTGTACTCCAATGGCCTCCACAGTCACCAGATCTCAAACCAATAGAGCACCTTTGGGATGTGGTGGAACGGGAGATTCTCATCATGGATGTGCAGCCGACAAATCTCCAGCAACTGTGTGATGCTATCATGTCAACATGGACCAAAATCTCTGAGGAATGTTTCCAGCACCTTGTTGAATCTATGCCACCATGAATTAAAGCAGTTTTGGAAAGTCAGTTTCCACATGAGCGCCATGAATGAATCATTGAGCATCTTTCTGACATATAAAGATGATTGAAATTTGACCACAAGGATGGTTTGTGGTGAAGTGATGAATTAGTGGTACGGATGCGTAATAATAACGGCTGCTCTGGCACCGTTAGAGAACTTCGCCGATGCAAAAGTAGGTGAAACTGCACTTTCTTTAGCTCGTTGAAAGGTCTAATGCATGGTGGAGGGGCACAAGTGTCGATATGCAAACAAATGTTGAAGAGCATTTCTACATCTATGGCGAACTGTGGATGTGGAAATGAGCACGGCTTTATGAATCAGATGACAAGCATGCATATTTCTGTCTTAGTGCATACACACAGTTTTGATCATAAATCTACAAAGAGTTTTGTGCATCTGGCCCGTGGTTTGTTTGTTTTGGAGAGGAAGAGACCTCTGTGAAAAATTTGGCTCCTTGTAAAAACCTCCTGAACAGTAAACACTTAAGGAGTTCTAACCAGGGGAACGCTCAGCTGGTTGTAATCTGCAACCCTCACTGCCAGAAGCCACTAAATCCCCCCCTAAATCTTACACACTGGCTGCTCCTTTAACTCCTGCGGTGACAAAACAAGCAATTTCACGGTGTCACATGGTGCCATCAGCGATGTAAAAGGGGGACACAGGGAAAAATTCCCCCTCAATAAAAAACATAAAAGTAGGACTTTTATTTTGACAAAATTTAATACACTTAAAACAAAAATGATGATAAAGGATAAAAAAAACAATCGCCAGAATGCAGGAAATTAAGTGTTTGATGCTCAAAAATTTCTGGCAGAGGAACCACCCTGTGTCATATGGGCTCCCTTCCAGTGTTGGAATAAAACCTAGTCCTTCTTTGGTAATTTTGATGGGCACTGTTCAGTATTTATTGAAGTACAAACCAAACAATCAGTCAGTCAAGAAAATAATCATATTAAACAATAATGAAAATAATCATTAGCTCCTGCAATGTGTGAAATAGTTTAGTATTGGCTCCATCTCACCCAACTACAACAGTAAATAGTGATAATAATCTGATAAAACAGACTTTTATTTGTAATGGAGTATTTTTTTACATTGTGGTATTAGCACTTTTATTTAATAATAGGATCTGAATTCTACCACAACCGATGTTCTATTATAGATACTTTGAGTAAGGAGAGTTGTGTGTGTTGTTATGAATATAATAAACATAACTTGTGAGGTTCTCTACTGGTTCTGTCCCTAGTAAACTTAACTAAACTAAGCTGAGGAACCAACATTTGAAGCCCCTGTATTGTCTGTTAAAGGTTCTCCACTGGTTCACTCTTCAGTAAACTAACCAAACTAGGCTGAAGAACCACCAGTCAAAGTCCCTGTATTGTTGTTTAGAGGTCTGCTAGTGGAGGTGTCCCCAGTAAACTAAACCAAACTAGGGTGAAGAACCAAAATAAAAAGGTCCTTTATTGTTCTGTAGAGGTTCTCTATTGATTCACTCCCCACTAAACTAAACTAAGCTGAAGAGCCAACATTTAAAGTCCCTGGAATGTTCTTTAAAGGT